ATAATTCTTACCTTTATGGTCTTCATAGATCTCTAGTTGTCTCTTTTGATTACTCTCTCCATTTGCAGTTATATGCTGCTGTTGGAATAGTTGCAGATCTGACAGAAGTTATTTTAAAAAGTAATAGGATTTATATATTTTATTATCACCTACTGAATTACAACAGTTCTTACAACTATAAATAATTTCCCAAGGTAAAAATGATCAAAAGGAATTTGATTTACTAGAATGAATTAACTTACCCAAGACTTGGCTACCATTTTTCATCTAGCCATAAAAGCACCACAAACGCCCATTTCTAATGCATTCAGTGCAATGCAATGACCCAGGTCTAACACTTTCTTCATCAAAAGATTCTGAAGTACACTTCCAGTTAATTAATTCAGTATTGACACACTTTGAACAGAGTACTCCAAGTTCTGATATAAAATTAGTAGAGTGAAGAACAGAGAAGAAGAACAGAGTATTACAGTGACTTACTGTGTGTCCCACACTATCTGAAAAATGGTCCTATAAAGCGGCCTCCAGCTCCCCCTGTCTCAAACTGTAATACATAGCTGTCATCTATCCATCCTCTTTGGAATGAAACATAACAAATGTATCACAATTTTGAAGATCTCAGTGAATTAAATGATCTCCTCACTGATACAAATTGATTATGAAATGAAATTTGTAATCAATTGAAACATTTGCATTTACAATTACCATGCGTCACTGTCACAATCTCATGTAGAGGCTAGCCCTGCTTCTCTGTAATGTACAATTTTGAACCATTGCAAAGTTATCGCAGTATGTTTCTCAGATCTGTTTCTCTCTGCTTTCACAGGGAGGAAGAGCATGGTGAAATGCACTTCTCAAGACCACAGACATGGTCACTACATCACCTGTGGTGACTAAATCAGAGGGAGCTAAGCCAGCCATGAGTCTCAGACATGCCTGACCTCAAAAATCACAAGATCACTAGTGGGCAAGTTAGTCTGAGGAACAGTACATCTCAAACTTTTTTGTCCTAATCATTGCTATTTAGACTCTTACAAAATATACAAAGCAATTGAGAAGCTTAGGCATTGAGAAGTAAATTTTAGTAGCAAATCTTCTATGGCAATAAATTGATAGGTACTTAGTGTCAGAAGCTCTTCTTGCACTACTGATTCCTACTTTGACATAGTCTTCTATACAGTCACATTTACTAACTTACTGTTTGCAAGTGAGACACCCTTTCTGGTGAAACTTTAGTATCTTGTTCAAAGAAAATCCCCTCCTCAGAGACGGGATTCAGAAGTCTCTTCTGTAACTAAACAGTGATGATACATTCAGTTACTTAATCCCTTATCACCTTTCCTGTAACACTCTTGTCAGTATCCGTACAAAAGACAGCTTCAAAGCACTTAACTCTGGAGCAGATAAAGCCTATTAAAGAAAAAAAAAAGAGAAAAATTGTATAGTCATGTGTTGTATCTCATCTAAATTTAGTGGAAGTGAGTTTATGACACCATTAGAACTTTGGGACACGGTTCATTTATGAAAAGAACAACAATGTACTTGCATTTCATATTTCTTTACATGTACCATTTTCATAGTTGCTTCATTAATGCAAAAATAAACTCTACCAACATAGGACAAGTTTGGTTACCTGTTAATTAAACTTAGAATACCTACATTATTAACAAAAATCTCAAACTTGGAGAAGGAAAATAGTACTTTTTGCTACATTTTGCTACTTTTGGTTCTTCGGTTCCTCAGGTATACCTGAATCCAGACTGTGATGGGTGTGATATCTGTGTAACAAATTAGACACAGCTCCCATATCAGTCGGGAAAATAACAGAAAGGACCCACAGATAGGCTACATAAACTGTGAATGTTAAATTCCTCTCTTGATCTTTCTGGGCTAAATCAGTCATTCGTTTGATTGTTATGTAAATGACAGTTTTTCAAAGTAGCAGTTTCTAAACGGCCCATGATTTACTCATCAGTGCAGCAGCAGCAGCAGCTCTAAATCTTTGCACTAAGGAAAGAACATAGCAACGATTTCTAAGAAAGCCAGTTAACTGGCAGCCTCATTAAGGCTATCAAGAACTGCATGAAAGGCAGATTAAATTATTATTTTACCATTGCTGACAAACTTTTCAGGCCAAAAGAGACACAGCCTTTTCAATGCAAAATAATGTTAGCAACTACTATAGAATACACTTCATACACCAAAAATTTCTGATCTCACATCAAATTTGGCACTAGATGAACATAAAAAAAAAAAGTAACAAATTAAAAAAAAAGGTGTAAGCTAAAACTTTCCAGAATAGTACAAACAGCTAAAATCTAATTTTTGCTGTCCATGCTCTCCTGTATTAAGCTTGACAATCTTAAAGCTGACTTGTCATGACAAAAAATATTGCCCTCTTGGATAGTAAGAGTTCACATGTTCAGATAACAAGCTTAAGTTGGTAGATAGCTTCCCAACTGTAGTATTTACTTAAATAATACAGAACTGAAGTGTTAACAGCCGCATCTCCTCAAACTAGAGGGAAAGTATCTGCCTCCACATATTGAGCAGTTTATTAAGCTGTATTACATTGAAGACAATACAAAAGAAAACCTTGTGCTAATGTGCTCATATCTTGCAATAAGACTTACCTACAAACAAGGCAGTCTTGAATTAAAAAGTGTGGTTCTCTTACATTAAAAAAATCCTTTTGTACAGTGCTTTTATTTTTCAATATACTTTTAATTACACGTTTCAACATATAAAAATAAAGCTAAACTACAAGCTAAAAACTTATGTATTAGCAAACAAAACTGCATTTCAGATTCTCTTTAGGCTCTAGCACTTAATGATATCTACATATAATCAATTCTCCACACTCTAGTCTCTGGTGAGAAAACTACATCTCTCTGAACTGTCTACTGATTGACATGATTTTAGCCATTTACAGATTTCAGCATTTATGCCACTAAGTCAAATTTTCACTTTCAAAATTATGGTAACATCAAAGGTGATATTTGATTGCTATAAAATGGAAAGCAGCATATGTCCCAGATAATGATTCCAAATTCACATCTTTAGGATTGTTTTACCACTACAATGCTATTATCACATTAACATCTACAAAATTCAAGATTATTTTGTATTTCTTTTTCCTCTAACAATACATGAGCTCTGATCTGCTTTCACTACAAAAGTGATGCGGAGATGCTTCAGACCTAACATACCATTATAGCATTACTGTTTGCAAGGGTCCTACTCATCAATGAAAAATAACTAAATAAGGACTGGCAATACACATTCAATAATTTATAACGTACATAGCAGGATTTACTTATTATCTCTTCCTTAAAACAACCAAAAAAAAAAAAAAATCACTTCCCTAAACTAGTAACTATTACAAGATAGCAGTACAAGCTAAGGGCAAAAGAGAGAAGCTACTATGTAACAGATGTGAAGAGTTTCAACATAATTTCAGGTTATTGTCTAAACGTAACTGGGCCAGTGAACATAGCATGCAATGCAAAGCATGCGACACAGACTGAATGAATTTAACTTCATTCTAGCAGCATAAATGGCACTGAAGTGTCCACAGCTCATTTCAGAATCCAAGCTACGCATAGGCTGCTGCCAGCCCACTAACATAAGGCTAGTTCAGATGTATCTGTTTGAAACTGCCATAAAAAAAATTAGCAGGTGATCACCTAATAGCGAAAACCCACATCTCACCCATTTCCCAAGCATTCTTCAGATATTTCTAGTTTCTAACCAAGTAATTTTATAATCCCTAATCCCCAGTTTCAACATATGGAAACTAAGAATTCTTTACATACCATACTACTATTGGAATTTGCAAACAAAATTCTGTGCCTCACACCTGTGTAAATCCACTGACTTTGATGAAATCATCTAAGCCCCAGCCACCCCTATTTTGAGCTTGACATCCTGTTTGATCCACCAAATTCTCTTCTGCTACCTTCTTTTTTCAGAATGCAATTCAGAACCCTCTTGGGAATTAGCTACAGGCACTAAATGGATACTTATGTGCTTTATGTGATCTTAGCAAAAACGGCAACATATAATTGCTCTTCTGAGCAATTTACATTTTCAAGTAAGTGCTAATTCAGATGAAACTACATGTAAAACAACACAGCTACCATTAACCACACTTCTCGAAACCTCTACCCACGTTAATCCCATTTACAAAGTGCAAGACCAGATGATCTGACACAGCAGCTCAGCACATAAGCTTGTTAATGATGAAGGCAATGGACTTCCCATGGAAGATGGACACTTTCAGTGGATGATGCACTCAGTCCTGCAGGAGCAGGCTGGAACTTCATTACTGTGCTATGTTACCAGTTGGGAAGTGAGCTATCCTCTGCAGAGATAAGCATTTCATAGACTAACAGTTCTCCAGGGGTGCCTTTTTAGGAACACCTGGTAAAATGGACAGATCGTAGCTACCTCACAGATCTGCACAGTATTTACAAAACAAAACCAGAAAATAAAAAGTATCTTGCAAAGTACTTGCAAGAAAATATGACTTGAGGAGAGGAAGAAATGTGTGTTTGGTGGCTGGTTGCTTTGGTTGCTTTTTTTCCTTAACAAAAAAACAACCAACAAAACCAACTGAACAAAGACCCTAAAATCCCCAAGACACTTTTTGTAAGGGAACCATAATTAACAGACAATATAACAATGTGCTGCATATAGCCTCACACAGGTGATAACCTACTTAGTAAGTTAATGCTGCCATCCATAACTATTAACTTCCAAAGGCATATTTCTCAGCTAAGCATACACAATCCTTTACATATTTTATACGTGATACATCATAAAACTATGCTATTTCAGGATAACAAAACTCAAGAAACCAAACTAACACCAGCTAAAACATGACACACTGAACGAATTCTAGTTCTTCCCAACAGAGAAATTTAGCTTTTCATAGAAAACATAAGTAATACATATGTTTTCACTAATATCCACATTTAAAATGAAAGAAGCTCTATGAGTAAATCCAGATGGTCTAAAAATATTCCTTTAATAAGTATGTACCAGCAGAAACATCCCTCTAAAATACTTACTTTATTAGTGAAATGGTACCAAAGATAACAAGTATACAAACAATCTCTTTGCTCTATGCTACTTACACATCATAAATAAGACAGCTGTTGTTGCAAGACACAATCTTTCACAGTCTTCCTGTAAGCATACAATTTTTTATTCTTTTATCAGAATTAGCTGTTTACCAGCCAACAGCATGTGGCTTAAACATCACAAAAATGGCTGTTCTATACTTTACATGGTAAAGCATTTTCTGTTGTCTGAAATGTACACAGTGGCAAGAACATTAAATCTTCTAGAAAATGAGGAGTGATTAAGCAGCTTCACAATCAAATTGGATTTCACTACCTTAGGAGCTGGGCAAAGTTTTCATTCCCTGTAATATGCTTCCCTTCCACTGAAAAAACTAACTATGCGGAGGAAAAGTAAAACAAGTAGAAAGCAAATAGCCAATACACTTAGTTTTTTATTTTAACTGAAAGAAATGACACTTCCCATGAGGTAAGGCAATTAATAATTTGATTGCATTAAGTTGTAGTAAAAATAATCTATGTGATTTTAGCTATAATTATGTCTTAAAAGCATAACTTATCAGAAGTCTCATATAACCGATTAAATTACTTCAAAGAACAAAAGCTATGTTTGCCAAGACAAAGCCACTTGTTTTGTGATTCTCTTCTTGCATGCTTTCTCCACAAAAAATTATAGAAGAATCTCTACTAAGTAAGCCCTGCGAAAATTAGAACTTTCTTCCTCAAATTATTTATCCCCCATTTCTTTGCACGCCATTCCTTTTATATTGCCCAACAGGTATCAGAGAAAATAACAGAGAGGTAACAATTAAGGCCATCCAAATGTATAGTATATGTCTTAAGAGCTTTCTTTGATGCAGGTGATCAGAGCACACTTTGTATTCAGCTACTACTTTTGTACAGTGGTGGTCCCCAAATTACATCTCTTATTTATAAATCTCTTCTAAGAATAAAAAATAAAAGTAAAATGGAGCTTCACTATTTTAACAAGTGAATCAAACAACCATTCTGGCAAGTCACTTGCATTTTTGTCTACAGTATGGTGGTGGCAAAGTAGCAAGAGAGATCATATAAGATTTAGCTAAAAATGTGTAACAGCACATATACATTTCTAGAAAATACCACATTTTAAGAAGGCACTAAAGCTTCTGCTTGTGCTCCCATATTTTTTTAACAAAAATGAAAAATTTATTTTCTTAATGGCACCTGTACTATTTTCAGCTGAACAGACACACTGCAGTACATTGCAAAACAAAGCTGTAAGTTCTGGTATCATCATATAGATGTGCTCACTTCTCTACGGACAAAGAAAACAACAAAACAAAACAACCCCAAAATAACCCTGTAAGCTAACCTAGTATCTATAACACGGCAATGTTCCTTCTAGGAACAGAAAAAGCGCATGCATTGTTCAAATACTTTAAAAGAAATATTAATTTCAGAGATATTAGTAAGAAATTATTTTAAATAATAAACCCTAAGAATCTCGAGCAGTGAGCAAATGAAAAACATACTAATCTGTGAGTATTTAACATAAGAACAGTAAAACCATGTTTATGCTTAAACCCCCTTTCCCTACAGTTGTCATTTACAAGGAAAGGAAGTGTATATATTTATGCACCATTTTCAAGCACATCAAACAGCACACATTAAAGTTTTTGTGGATTTTTTTAACCTACAGGGCAAAACAATACAAAAGTCATCAACAAGCAGTATTTCAAACAACCTTCAATGCATATCTTCAGCTTTTTTTGGGAAGTACAGGTTTACATCTTTCAGTTTCTAGTTATTTGTAACAGCTTATAGCAAAACTTAACATAAATCATTTTACAAGTACAGCCATCATGGAAATGCATGGATTTTCAGAGATGAATAGTTCTGATGGCATCTGCCTTTTCATGGTATTAACTACAGGTCTGTGCTCTTGCTTTACAGCAAGAAGACAACAAAGCTATCACATGAACTGGAGGAGCTACTAGTACTATCAACACGTTCAGGTTGATTGCTTTGACATTTTCTTCCTCATTCTGGGAAATAAAATGCTTTGGATTTCATTCCTTAGTTGAATAAGAAGTCCATTCTTTAAACCTCTTCCATTTTAACTGAGAGATTTTCCTCATTTGGTTGACAATTCCCGTTCTGTTGTAGCTTGACTTCATCTGTCCTTTGTGTATCTCTATTGTCTACTTCCTTGTCAGTTTCTGAATTCTGATCTTCTTTATTGTTATCTTTGTCCTACCAAAGATAAAATTATTTGACAACAAAATAATATTCTTAGCATTATAGACTATGACTTCCAACCAACTCTCAGTAATTTTATTGTTTGAATTTCTACATGTGTATCTTGTGTCTGCAAATTTTAAAATAGAGGTGTGACCTTCTTTGCCCCCCCATCTTTTTTTTAAAATACTTTTTTTTTTCAGATGGCTGAAGTTTGGCACTTTTAACAACCCATCACCCAAGAAATTATGCCATAGAATGATCTGTCTTTATTAACTAAAATAAACTCATGTATAAAGTTATAGAACAAGTAGCACCATGGACTGTATGAGAAGCAGCTCCAGCAATTAAGATCACTAACATTTTTGAAATAGAAAAGGAGTAAATTTTTTCTTTCTCATTTTTTTTGTCAGGTATCTGATACATTTTTAGAGTTCTTTTAAGATACTTCCTCAAGCATTTGAACAGTCACCTAAACCAGCTGTTTTGTAACAGCTGAGTAATTCTGAGCACAACTACTCTTTGCTGCTATTCAAATTGTAAGAGTAAACAATTTGAAGATATTTCTTTTCCTAATTGCAGTACTTTCTATTTCATAGGGGAAAATCCTATACCACTCTTTCACAACTCTTCAACTTTACTCCTATAGAATCCAATGTACAGACCAGGACCAATTCAATGAGAGTTTGAACTGTATAGTCAGAGTTTATGTTAAAAGTAATCTTTTCAGTTTCACAGTCAAGCCACCCCTAAATACTGCTTGTTAGCCAATAGCCTGCCTGGTCCTAAAAGTAGGAAGCAAGGCACGTGCTAACACAGGGCACACAACAAAAAGGAGAAAAAAGGTGTTTCCGTAACCTAAGCAGACAAACTCCTACAGGTCAACTGAAGATCATATATGTAGAATTAAACTGGCCTACTAACCCCAACTAGCAAATACTGAACTCAAGCGACACTAATTTGGTAAGGAACAGAAGAAATAGAAGAGAGGAAACAAAGAAAAAGTAGAGAGAGAATTTCAGTAATGGCTTCACTACCACTTCATGCTGCTGATCACTTGGTCACACAAACTTACCTTCAAAGTAGTGGTGCTTTTGTCAGATTTCTCCTTTCCCTCTTTTTCTTTACTACTTTTTTTCTTGGAAGTGGAGCGTTCTCTTTCTCTCCTTTCATTATTTGTATCTCTTTCTCTTTTTTTTTCTTTCTTGTTTCTGTTCCAGAAATTTTTTATTCAAATTAGGATTTGATCAAACTACAATGAACTTCAAACCATTTGACTGCAAACTAAACACCCAGCACAGACTTTCAAAGAATCTCCCCAAATTTAACCAAAAATCCCGTTGCAAAGACAATGACACTTTTTTTGGCTGAAGAGAGCTGAACAGTTCATATGACCACCACACACTGTATTTGCCAAGAAAAAAGCAATTTAGTCTGTATCAAATTAAGGCATTTCATTTATTTGAAGCAATTTGCAATGCTAATTGATTTGAAATTATGTCACTGAAAGAACACCAGAGCTCAAACTGGTTAAAGTTTTGAGTTAGTTTTAAATTAAAACTGAATCATACTGACCAAATGAAATAATCTGAAATCATTAACGCAAAGGCAGTAAAACAGTGAAATTACTACAAATTCTTACTTCTTTACTGATCGTTAATTTCTGTGTTTACATCAAACTGACCTTCTTGGAGAAGGAGTTCGTGAAGACTTTCTTTTTGCTGTTTTTGATGTTTTAGGAGATTTGGAAGGACTTCTGCTCTTCCTTTTACGCCTTTCTCTATGGGACCAAGAAATTCAGTATCATCAAAACCCAAAAATAATAAACTCAAAGGAGATAAAAAGAGAAAGCTCTTACAATGATCGAAATATGTCCACTGAATCTGACATTCTATATCCCTAACAAAATATGAACTGTGTAAACTAAAAAAAAATTTTGCATGCTTCGGTTTAGTGGTAAAGGCAAGGCAAGGAAAAAAAGAGATGTGCCCTTTCAAAAAATTTTTTTTTAATCCTTATATATCTGACAACAATGAAAGCACACTGACGTCAGTAATACTGTATCAGTTAAAAGCTTCTTCAGTCAGGAAAATAATTGAATGAAGAGTCATATTAAGATAAAAGGTATAATTTGAGCAATATGAATTTCAAAATGTAACATTACAACCTGAAGATCACTGCAACTTCAGTTTAACCTGATTAAAATTTAATTCCTAAATGTATGAGCTAGAATTAGATGATTTAGAAAAAAACAGCGCAAAATGAAGCCCAAACTGTTGTCAAAGTCAGGATAAATAAAATCTATTGTTTCTCTAGTGGTCCTTGCTTAGCAAACAGAATGTCATCATTCTGTAACACATGGAAGAGCTTGAAGTGTTTTACAAAGCAACTGTTATACATAGCTAAATGGAGTTTCTGAAGTTGCCATTATGGAGTCTGATCTTGAATACAACAAAACGTGAAATAACTGGTACTTTATACTGAGGGACATGTTAAATTAAAGCAAAAACGGAGTCAGTACAATTACATTTAACATAAATGCAGAAGCCATCTGTCAAAGCAAGATTACTTTTTTCCCGTCAACTCTTTGTAAAACAGGAAAAGCAGACTGGAAGAACAACTGAAGAGGGAAATTTAAAACTTCTAGATACAACACAAAAGCCACATTTATTTTTATTCAAAACAACTTTTGCAGTTTGTGAATTTTTAAATCTTCAATATTTAGAAAAGCAAAGAAATCAACATTTATTAGATAAGTGACAAAAAGACACTTAAATTAATCAGTATTACTATATGGATTGATACTCTGACCTATCAGAGTACCGATCCATAGAATGATACTCCATATACCATCTATGTGACTGTCCTGATTTCAGTCAGGACAATTTTCATTCTAGTAACTGGAACAGTGCTGTGTTTTAGATTCAGTATGAAAATGATGTTGATAATACATGGTTGTTTTAGTTGTTACTTATCCTAAAATGAAGGACATGCGTTTCCCATGCTCTGCCAGCAAGCAGGTACACAAGACACTGCAAGGGAGCATGGCCAGGAGAGTTGACCCAACTGGTCAAAAGTCAGTGAGGGGTGAGTGATTGTGTAGTGCATCACCTGCTTCCCTTGGGTTTTATCTGTCTCTGTCCCTTCCATTACAATTATTACTGTTACTATAATTATTTTGTTTCAATTACTAATGTGTTCTTTCCTCAACTCTCAAAACAGAGCCTGTAGAGCACGACAAGGCTGAACAAGAGAGGGACTGGTGAGGAAACAAAAGAAGTCAAAAAAGAACTGTCATGGTTGAACCCCAGATGACAGCTAAATCCTGAGTGGCATTTGCTCATTCCCTGCCTTCTTTTGCCCATCAACCTCCATAGCCCCACCCCACCAGGGGAGGAGAGCAAGCAGGAAAAAAAGGAAAACTCCAGCACTGTACCAGATGCTAGTAAGAAATTTAACTCTCTTTCAATCAAAACCAATACAGTGACCTGAAGCTGCACAGGACAAGATTTCTAAAGTACTTAGTTCAGCAAACTTTTGATTTATCTTTCATAAACTAAAAATAAAAAAATAGGCTCAGAATCATGTAGTAAATACCAGTCACTAATCAGCTATTCACTAGTTAACATGCATTTTGAACATCTCCACACTGATCATCACCTTTATTTAAGGATACTGGAAATTGATTATTCTCTCTCAGTGCTGTCACTTCAGCTACACTGAACACAGTCTCACTTAATTTTGCTTTCCAGCATGTGTACCTGCAAACCAAGTGCTTCAGCAATTGTGTTAAAACTAGAAACTGCTTATTCATTGAATTTTATTTTCAGTTTCTGCTTTTCTTATTTGAAGTTGAAAAATTATAACTGTGTCTCACTGCATCTGTTCCCATCTCTATTAAATTTCTACATAAAAGATTTTTGTGCATCCATTTCATTATATGTCTTACACAATACTAACTGCAAAATTTAAGAAGAAACAAGTTCCGAATACTTTGATAGTAATCCTGTGTCTCTTAATTATACATGGAAATAACATTCTGCATGTCATCTGGTGCTACTGGCTCTGCTAGCCTGTAAGATAGCTCCTTTTCCGACTGATTTCACTTCCCCTAGTCTGTTTCTTTTTTCAGCCAGGAGTCACAAATAACTATCTTACTTCCAGTACCAACGAGCAAAGCAAGTCAGAAAAGCAAGGTCAGCTGCCATCTAGTTGTTAAAAGGTCCTGTATGTCCTATTCCACATCCTCCTCTTTTCCAAAAAGATGACTATTCGCCAAATATTTTACATTTACTCTTCTATTTCACATTTTACATGATCAGCAGTCATCTGCTGTACTGAAATTCATGCAACTGAAATACCTATCTGTTGAACGATCTTCACTGGAAAGGTCTGCAACCATTTCAACTATGCAACGTCCATCACCAAAGAAAGACCCCTAACGTAACCCAACCTACTCAGAATTAATTTTCAAGGAGCACTGACATTACTGACTTTGGAAGAACCCTCTGAAGATCACTTAGTCCAACCTATCCCTTTCCCACCTTACAAGAGGCTCAATCAGAGTACGTTATTCAGGGCCATAACCAGTCAGATCTTTGGTTGGAAGAGACAATCCCTTGAGGTAACTGGTTCCAATCTGCCAAGCAAAACCACAATTTCAACACTAGGAAAAATAACCCCTTTATTTCCCATAGCTCAATATGTGCCTGTCACCTCTTAATTGTCACAGGCCTCCGCTGGCTCTGTCTTCTTCATGCTCTTATCAGATATTCATACATATTGGTAAGATGCTCCTTAGCCTTCTCTTTTCCAGGCTAAACAATCCCAGATTCCTCAGTACTCCCTGAAGGAAGCTCCAAGTCCTTTATCAGCTTCATGGCCCTTCACTGGACTCACTCCAGTACATCTGCATGTCTCTTGTAATGGGAAGCCCAGAACAGAATTCTACATGTGTCCTTACCAGAAGAGGGAAAGAATTATCGCTCTTGACCTACTCACAACATTGCTGGCTTCCCTGCCTGCAAGGACCTGACAGCCAGCAAGTTCCCATGCTATACTGGTGCAATGGCACTATTTATTGCTGCCCGGGTGTAGGACTTGTCCTTTCTCTTTGTTCAAGTCCATGAGAGGACTATTAGTCCATTTCTCCCATCTGCTAAGTTTCTCTAATGGCAGATCAGCCTCTCCCCACAGCTGGTTCTCTGTTGTTTGCAAAGCTACAGAGGATGCACTCTCTCCCACTGTCTAAGTCCCTGATAATAACATTCACCAGTATTGGCCTCTGCATTGGTGCTCTAAGGATAGTTATATCTGAAAAAAAATTGTAAATCTATAATAAAAAGTGTCCAGCTTCCAAAGAACACTACCCTTGTTTAACAACATCTGTATTATATCAAAGTACAGCTTTGTACTTTGACTGCACTAGAAGAAACGCACTGATTTTCACAAGAATTCCTTGCTCAAGTACATGACATTGGAGCCTTCCCATAGCACTTTCTTAACTAGTAAGATTCCTAAGGGGGAGCAAAATTATTGCAAACTAGAGTATGAGCTTTTGGTAACACCCACCTAACTACACTTGTTATTTGGCACAAGGAGCCTGGTTTTCCACCAAGGCTCCTATATAAGATACACATTGTGAAACCCTTACATATTTTTATGCACTTATCCAATTCAAATCTCTGAGGCTTATGGCCTGAAGAAAATGGTTTCAAAGCTGACAAAAGTACCTCTATGTGGGTCTTCCACTCATTTAAATAGGAAGCTGCATATGCTTATTGAAGAAACAATATTTTGCCCATAAACCTCATAACACAAACAAACTGTTCAGAAACCATTACACCCTTTTTTTGCCTTCTATGAACCCTGAACTGATGAATTTTGAGGACTAGAGGAGCTCAGCTTTTGTCTAGTCATACTATTACAATAGGTAGAACTTGTCCAATTCGTTCAGCATTTCTTTATCTTGAGGTTACAGATATAATTTGGTGTTTAAACCTGATATGATACTACTGGACTCCTAATTCCGGATGTAACAGTAAGGACCTTATCCACCAATACTTCTAAACTTAACTTAGCTGCAATGCTTTTAGAATATGCCTGAGCTTGCTTACAGAGATTGTTTATAATCTCACAACCTCTTTCTGCTATAACAAATTTATCCAGACTTCCTGCTAGTTAAGCTCCCCTCAGAGCCAAAACCAACAGCCACACTAACTTTGTTTTCCTGCTTACTGTCAGCAGTGTCAAGGAATGTCACTTTTAAATTACTGGTGGCTATCAGATAAACAATGTATCTGTGTCTTCCAATTGAGATACATTCACCTCTTGAAAGGCTAGCCAGCCAACCTACACGCTTGCTTCCTGCAGTTCAGCCATCCAGCCAAAGAGAGGCAAGTATTAGAAAACAACTGTTAGCAAGATCTACAGACCAAAATGCTGCAGTATGTAAGTAATCAAAGAATTATGTAACAGTGACTCAAACTTTCATCAGGGCAAAGATAATGTGTGTGATGTTGGTCAGAACTTTTGGCTGTCTGTAACATACAGAACTGGCACAAGAATCATCTCAGTACTGTCCTCAAGGTTTATACAATATAGCTATATGAAAGTCAAGCACCAGCAGCCCAACAAGAAACTCTGTTATATCAGGCATCATATAGAGCTTTTTATAACAGATGTTACTTTAAAGGAAAATCTACAAAACAGAAATAATACAAATTTATTTGGTAAGAGATATGGTGACATCAATACATAAAAATTAGGATGATGCCTCGCTGATGTGTAAAAAAAAAAAAAAAAAGAAGCATGAAAAATTCTAAACAAACCTGCTGGAGCTACGAGATCTTCTTGAAGAGCTATAGCTTCTTGGGGGAGTTCTGGATCTCTTATCTTTCTTCTTTTTATCATCTCTCTCTTTTTCTCGCTCCTTCTCCTTATCCCCATCTTTTTCCTTTTCTTTGTCTCTGTCCTTTTCTTTGTCCCCTCCTTTATCCTTATCTCCCTCCTTGTCCTTAATCTTCTCTCTGTCCTTCTCTCCTTCTTTCTCAGTATCTTCTTTTTCTTTGTTATGATCTACCTCTTCCTTGTCTTTTTCCTTATCTTTATCTTTTTCCTTTTCCTTGTCCCTATCTTTATCCTTGTCCCTGTCTTTGTCTCGCGCTCTCTCTCTATCTTTGCTTCGCTCTTTATCTCTCTCCTTGTCCTTCTCTCTATTTCTCTCTTTATCTCGCTCTCTTTCCCTGTCTTTATCTCGATCCCTATCCTTCTCCTTGTCTCGGTCTCTGTCTTTCTCTTTTTCTTTGGCCTTTTCTTTTTCTTTGATCTTTTCTTTGTCTCTTTTCTTGTCCCTGTGAAAAGCCAAACACAAACCCATTAATTAATCTTTGAACTTTCCAATTAAAATTACAACTAACTTTTCAACATACATCAAGATAAAGTGAGCATCTCTGTTGAAAAACAGTACTGCTTCAATATTTTAATTTTTCACCCCTGTTTACAATAAGGGAAAGCTTATATAGCTAGAAAATAAACAACTATATACAGCTAGGAAGAATTTGGAAACCAGCTGGAGGAGAGGAAGCCAAACCCAAATCAAAGCACTATCTTCCAAGTGATGCTACTATGTTTGGAGAGAATGTGTCTTTTCACCTCACAGTTATATAATTATACATACATAAATCTTCTATATTTTGTCAGGAGTGAGACAAACTCTACAAATCTGTAAATCCACTCTTTACTAAAACTGTATCCACATAAAATGGCCTTCAGATTAATCACTGCCAAATGAATAATGACAGCTGACTGACAGAAGTCTTCGTATTCCAGTTTTCTCTCACACACATATCTTAACTGCTTGGCAGTCCAACACCACTTAATACATAGAAATAAAAAGAAAACATGGACAAAATGTCACCGGATTTCTTTACAAAGCAAATATAAGATCAAAACTTAATGAAGACAATTCAGCCATCTGTAATGTCACTAGGAATTTGAGAATTACCAAAAAATGCTAATACAGTAAAAAGAGAAGAAAGGAAAATAGCTCTTTGGGACAGGAAGTATGATACATGTTCACAAAGAGAACAGTGAGGAAAACTCCATCTGATGTTCAAGTTATCAAGTCAAACAAAAAGTAATTATCTAACAACTTTGGTTGGAAAATTACATTTTAGTATAAATGCAATTGATACTATAATTTTTGAAAATACAAGACTCCCTCTTTTCCCTCTAGTACAGAGACATATAATGAAAGAACAATTGTTCAGAGAGAGAAACAGGAGAAAGAGATAGAGAAAAAATTGTTTAGCAGTGTCTTATTGTGCCAAAAAGAACCAGACTGACACAAGCTACCTGGTATTGGTATCTATTCTAGATTTTTACAGATTCTAAAAGAGTCCTTCACACATCTGGTCCTAAGCATTCAAACTTTCCCCAAACTGAGGAAGTGTTTGGCTGTATCTCCTTCTCAACTGCAAATAAACAGCATGCATCTGTTGCATGCTTTACAGACTGACAACTGTGATTCCCATCAGGTTCTGTCAAGTACTTCATCAGGAGTCTCAGAGATGGAATGTAACATCACAAAGATTAAACAGCGCGCAGTCCCCACACCACCAGCCTTACAGCCTCCCAAGAAATGTCTTCTAGTTAATTTATCAGAGATTTCACTGGACTTTCCCATTCCAGTGAGCAGATGCCTCAAGAAGCTCCAGAAAACAGAAACAGAGAATCAAAAGGATCCACCAATAAAACCCAGCCAGCTACACAGCCTAGTTCTGTTTCCACATAGGGCCACAGATCTGCAGCTCTCTTTCCCACAAAACTTACCTCATAGAACAAGATGCAGCTGCACAAACTAAGTACAAATCTCCCTTTTAATAAATCAGGGGTATTACAGAAAGTAAACCAAGAACATACCAAGACTTCTACTCCTGAAGCTATTTTCACAGGCACTTTTGGTTTGAGCTTATTCACTACTTCATCCCTAAAAAATTATTCTATGATCTTGTTAAAATGTCACAGTATAGTAATTAGATGATCAGACATAAAAACTAATAAACTAGATAAAATACACATGTACTACATCCTGAAACACATATATGCCGTACAACCGGCACATGCATTTGTTCCTGCTGTTTGACATAGGAGAAAAGTCAAAGCTGAAAACAAAAAAGTTGATGCACAAGAACTCTATACACGTTCTTACAATACAGGATCAAGGTCAGTCTGAATTCAGATACACATCAAACAAGCACTATCCATTTTTTAGTGTGTTCACAAGCTACGCAGGATATTCCTTAACTATGGGTTGTAGTCTGACAAAATTACTCTTATCAGTAGGCTTCAATGTTAGTTCAAATGCAGATAAGACTATCAAAGTTCAGGTGCCTCAGCATGATCATTTAATAACTGGAGGCACCCTACAAGCTACAAGAAAGATAGTTAACTATCCTAGCCAATACCATTGTACTCAGTATTAAAATTTACTGTATTAAAATTTACTTTCTGTCCCACAGATGAGATTCCACCCTTTATGGTAACCTAAAAGGTTTGTTAATTTTTTTTTCAAAAACTGTATTCTGAGCTAACAGTACCATGTTGTGGAACAGAACTCACCGAGAACGAGAGCGACTTCTTGATTTCCGTCTTTCTGTAGATCTAGACCGTTTTTTCAGAGGACTTCGGGATCTGCGTCTGTCCTTGTGTCTTGAGAGAGATCTGTTGCCAGATCTACTTCTAAATGAAGAAGGCCAGAAGAAAAATATTTCAATATGGAAACTTCACACAAATGAAGTCAACCAACAAAAAAATGGCGATGTGTCACCACAAAGTATTATCTGACACCTTAATAACATACTGTCTGCAAATGTTTTCGCAAACATGGATACTTTATGCTTCACCATATGTAACATGCTCGACTTAGAAACCATTTAAGTTATACCAGTGTTTCATAATAATCTCCATTAATCTGAAAAACAGAAATTACCAAAATTTACAACAGTTGTCCTTACAAAATGACACTGCATAAAATCTGATTGGCAATTTCTAGCAGATTGTAAAAAGAGTAAGTTACATTTTATTTACTTTCCAGGCCCAGGCTCTTATTGAAGTTTTAGTCATCAAAGAAAGAGGACTTTGGCTCCAACAATCTCTTTTTGCTCTGTTCTCCATCCTCATAATTTAAATCCATAAAACCAAGTTACCTTTCCAGATAAAAGGATCTGTTAGAATGGATTTCAGTTGTAATTGAAGTCTAGATACTCTGATTTAAAAAAAAAAAAAAAAAGTCTCATGCAGATTTGATGAACAGCACTTTATATTTTTTTTTTCCAAAATACTCCCTTATTTCTGGGAGACCCTTTTCCCTAGGAAAACAAAAATAAAAAGCTGAATTTGCACATTAAGTTTCAAAAAACCACATCACTGGATACTTTGCTTCACAAGGCACCATGAAGTTTAACTTGCCATAGACAGAAAGATCACATACATTACTGAATAAAACCTAAAGAACTGCGAGGTACAAAAAGTAACAACTGCACCTACCTTCCACAGCTCAAACCACACAGTTGAATGATGCCTCAGCATTTTAGTTGTTAAATTTTTCATACATTTGTAATCCTACAATTCTTTAGTGTATAACTCCATACAGAGTGTTGGCTACCGTTCTCCCATTTTGATCAGACAAAACAATTCCTCTCCAGGCCTGGGAATCAAGGACACCTTACTTTCTCAGGCCACGAGAAATGTAAACAAAAGTGAGTTAGGGGGAGAGCAAACTTGGGGTAAATGACTTCATTACTTGAAGCTGTAATTGAAAGATTAACCCCCAATATGCAAATTAACCAAAAGGTTTTCACACTTTTTTCTAAAAGTGTGAAAACCCATGACCTGCTGTCCACTTTGGGCGTAGCCCCTGGCGGGGTGGGGGGGGCGCTCTGTCTGCCCTACATGTATGTGGAGGCCCTTCACTAAATATAACTGCTTTTTATTCCCTTAAGTTTGTCTAGCCTCTGTTTTTAGGTAGTTCCAAATAGCATCAGTAAAATATACCAAGAAGAGGGGAAGCCATTTTTTAGCTACAGCTTTGTTCTCCTTATCAGCAGAGAAATACAAATCAACTGCAAGTGCAATTTATTGCAACTGAATCAAAGCACAACCTTCAATAAATTTTATGCCACAGAGATGAAAAAGTTGTTATATAAAACAGTAAAAGGGAGAAGCAGTAAGCATAGATTATTTTTATGGATGAAGCTGCCTCAACAGGTCAGACTGGCTTTTTTTCAGCATGTTCTCATAACTGGCAGTAGCAATATTAAACAATTTAACAAAATGTAGTAAAATATAATAATTTACATTTGTTTAAGGAACAGGTTTTCCACATTAAAAGAAAGAAAAGCTTATCTTCTAAAATTCCACTTGGTTTGTGCCAATACAAGATAATACTGAAATTACTGGACTGTTGAACAAAAACCAGTGTTTTTCAGTTACGCCTTGAGTTAAGGACATAGCAGAGAAGCAAGCAATAAGGAAGTGACCAAAGGGTCCTTCTTGCATTAAAAGGGTATCTAACATTTTGAAGTCACTAGAAAACACATGCTGTGGTTCCCTGCTGTTGCAAAATTGAAGCCTGCATTTGTATCACATTTATTTGATAGTATAATTGATGTTAACTCCCCCTCACCAGATTTTCTGTATTTAAAAGTATCCTAGTAGCCTTGTTTGAAGACATGAATGAAAGGATGCCTCAGAGCTGTTGCTGCAATAGGGACAGCACCTACCTTTTAAAAGTGTAAGCAATCAAATAACATTACAAGTTTTGGGTTTTTTTTTTATCCCCGACATAGCCAAGTACCTTTAGATTGATTTACCTAGGTTCTCAGAATATACTCCTGAGACAGAAAGAATCTGGATCATTTTGGGAAGCCTTTACAATTCTCACAGAACAAGCCTGTTCCATTCACAGAAAGAAATCTTAATCTTCAAGAACGATCTAATAATTTTCTGTTTCAGAACTGAATAAATTTAGCAAAGCAAACAAAACCTGAAAAATGAGAAACTGTCCCAGAAGCCTTTTCTGTATGCGTTTTAAAAACATTTACAGGACAAAAATAACTCAGTGCTTGGAAGTTGAGGAAAATACCAATAACCAGCCAAAAAAACAGCCAACCCATTACCAGTAAATTATATGCTTCATCCACAAAATGCAGGTTTCTCTTTAAAATACAGGTCACAAAATGTTATTTGATTACATAGCCTAATGTACAAAAACATAAAATGTACGAAAACCCACAGAACTTATTATTTTACATGACACAGGAAGTGCCCTGTAGATTGCTTAAACTGAAAGTAATCCTATAAACATTCAGGGTTTAGAGGGAAAGAGTTCAAAGACAAAGTTTCTGGTTTGCTGATCTTCTGGGTGCAAGTTAGTAATCTCTACAGCAATACTTGTCTATTACTAAAAAATAACAGTAACCAGCACCTTGCAAAAAATCCCAATATGATCTTGAAACAAAAGGCATACCTACCTGTGTTTTGAGTGTGATCTTTTCCTTCTAGAGCGGGATTTTGAGCTAGACCTGGATTCTGAACGAGAATGGGAACGAGATCGACCGCCTTTTCTTTCACTGCTCTTTCCAGACTCTGAGAGGAAAAAACCACTTTGCAGTGTAAGCTCAGAACATTTAAAGATCCCAGTTAACAATCTGGCACAAGTGGAATGTACCACATATATTGCAAGGGGCCTACTCTCTGCACATCTTCCTTCTTTGCAAATATCCTTCAGAAACATCCAAGAAAGTCATTGCATATACTCGTTGAGTGCAGCCATCCTGCAGCAGTACACATAAACCAGATAATTATAAACAGCTAGCTCTACTATGAACGGGATTTATGTTGCTGCCACAATGCACAAGATCATAACACGTCCTTTTGCTCTATTTATTTAATATTATTTCCTTATTTTTTTAATAACTTGAGAAGAATAAATTTAGAGGGCATAATTCTGAAAACAAGCATAAAATGTAAGTATTACTGTCTGTATTTTTAGATATTTCAAACACTGTACAAATACTGAAGTTTTATTCCTCGCTGTTTCACAGGAGGAAAGGAAGAACAGAACAGGATGAAAAGTCTGACCGAAAGCCAGAAAGTCAATAGAAACCTAAACAGTGAGCTCACCAGTTCAGAGTCTAACTATTATTTTGTTGCTTAACAGTGATAAAGCGCTAGAGTTATTTTACTTTCAAACAAAAAACACAACAGAAAATAACTGCCCCCAAAAAACCATCAAGACTCCACACCATCTAACCAACACAAGACAGTATCTGGGTTTAACGAGAATGGGAACGAGATCGACCGCCTTTTCTTTCACTGCTCTTTCCAGACTCTGAGAGGAAAAAACCACTTTGCAGTGTAAGCTCAGAACATTTAAAGATCCCAGTTAACAATCTGGCACAAGTGGAATGTACCACATATATTGCAAGGGGCCTACTCTCTGCACATCTTCCTTCTTTGCAAATATCCTTCAGAAACATCCAAGAAAGTCATTGCATATACTCGTTGAGTGCAGCCATCCTGCAGCAGTACACATAAACCAGATAATTATAAACAGCTAGCTCTACTATGAACGGGATTTATGTTGCTGCCACAATGCACAAGATCATAACACGTCCTTTTGCTCTATTTATTTAATATTATTTCCTTATTTTTTTAATAACTTGAGAAGAATAAATTTAGAGGGCATAATTCTGAAAACAAGCATAAAATGTAAGTATTACTGTCTGTATTTTTAGATATTTCAAACACTGTACAAATACTGAAGTTTTATTCCTCGCTGTTTCACAGGAGGAAAGGAAGAACAGAACAGGATGAAAAGTCTGACCGAAAGCCAGAAAGTCAATAGAAACCTAAACAGTGAGCTCACCAGTTCAGAGTCTAACTATTATTTTGTTGCTTAACAGTGATAAAGCGCTAGAGTTATTTTACTTTCAAACAAAAAACACAACAGAAAATAACTGCCCCCAAAAAACCATCAAGACTCCACACCATCTAACCAACACAAGACAGTATCTGGGTTTGTTAATAAGCAGATTGGCAAAAAGTTGCTGACAAAAAAAAGCAGGAAATTTACGAAGTTGAATTTTTTTTTTATGCTGTTTTGCAATCAGTTTAAGCCAGCATAAATCACCACTGGAATGTCTGTCTAACCACTCAACACAACACCACCATCCTCCTTGAGTTGGCATCTCAGTGTTAACAGGGAACAGGGAAACAAACTGGATGAAAAGAAGTCCTTTACAATATGTTAATACTTATCCCAGATTCATTCCCTGATCCCCTTTGCTTTGAGGATGCATACAGCCTTTAGGCACCATGAAAAAGAACCAAATTAACTTGCTGCTTATAGATTAGGAAAGCATAATATTATTGCTTTTACAACCATGCTTTTAGAACTACGCTTATCACAAAACTATGTCATTAATGGGTGCTAAAGGGCAACAAAAAATAGAAAGCATTTTCTTTTAAATGTCTTCAAGTGCTCTTAATGATGTCACTTTTTAAGTTAAGTATGGATTTAGTATTATATTTACATGTTTGAAAACATTCAGTGAACATATATCTGAAAACAAGAGATGATGAAATAATAAGCTTCATTCCACTGCTTAGATGCATGAACAGAATTTTGATTATTTTGGTTTTTTTCCCCCAACATGTACTGAATGTCTCTGGATACCCTTCTCTTGTGTCTGAAAATGTTCTTAGAAATGTGTACCAAGGTAAACACAGAATGTGCCTGTTTGGTAATTATTAATTAACATAATATACCTACCTGGCTCAATAGCAGCAGATATAAAAGACTGGGCTTCTCTTACTCTCTTCATCACTTCTTCTAGCTCCTTGGCAGCAGCTTGTGGCGTCATTTCAGGAGGCTTCACTATTGCATTATTGGAGTGATTTATCCTAAATTAAAGAAAAATAAAAACCTTTCATTCTTAAATATTTTAACAGGGCAAATGGGAAACAACTAAGGAAAACATCTGAACTTTGTACAAAATTAAAAACTTAAAAGTTTAGCAAAACACCCACCTGTTCCAAGTATCCAAACTATCTTTTATTACTTTGAAGTCTTACCACTTTTAAAGAAAGGCAGCACAGTATTCTTATGTTACAATATTTTTAGAAGTCCAGGATGTTACTTCTCTATTTCAGATCAAATCTTCACATTAACACCTACTAACTACATACACATCACACTGAAAACTTAATTAGTACTATGGACTTCAAAGATTTTTTCACTGTTATATCTTACACTACCTCAAGATTAATATAATTGTATTTTACTCAATGCCATACATATTCTACTGAGAGAAATTTATGCCAAACTGTGAAACTGGAGTTGATAAAAATGTTTTGATTTGTTAACAACAGGTCCACATACTGAAAAAATATTAGTCGCAGCATTTTGCTACACATAAGTCATAAATGTGCGTATAATGATACAAAGAAATCTCTCATTCAACAGTAATACAGATAATTAATTTCTTACTTCAGTGGCCGGTCTCCAAACATAACTCCATTAAAGGCAAGAGCTCGAGGTACAGAATTTTGGTCTGCAAATTCCACAAAAGCAAATCGTGTTGGTTGTGTCTCATCACCTGCCATTCGCACAAATTTGACTTCTCCAACTTGCTTAAAGAATTCAAGCAGCTGATCTGCTGTTGTAGTCTAGAAAGAGTTGAAGAGCTCAGCTGAAGTAAACCACACAGTGAAAACCACTAGCTAATATATTGAGTAGTCTAAGAGCTGCACATTCTTGGACTGATATCTCAGCATTATTACAAAGGTGACATGAATTTGGGAATGTTACATTTTAAGACTTAAAGATGTGTATATTTTCTTCCATTAACCTAAAGAATATTCTACAATTTTAAGTAGTAGAGCCACAAGCCCTTAGTCCTTCACCTAGGTAAAAAAAAAAAGAAAATAAATTTACATGGGATTTTGCACTTTTTAGGCAACTAATCTGAAGTAACTGGTAAGAAATTTCCTTATACCTGTTTCCAAGCTACTAATTGTGACTTTTGATCAACTAAAGCAAAAAAATCCAAACAATATTAAAGGACTTAAGATTTATGTAGCTTTCTTCTAGCTTCCAGTTTGTTTTATTTTATCACAATCAATAGTACTTTTTCACTCAGTAGCTGTTCCAGAAGTCAAAAAACCCAAGATGTAATACTTACATTGCTATCAGTCAAAAGCAAATGTTTTTCAATTAATCTGATCACCTCTCAAAAAACCAAGCTGCTGATTTAAAGATATTTATGCTAATTTTGCAACTTCCAGTAGGACACATGATTCCATCTTACTGCACCTAAGCAACTACACTGTGCTGTGGGGGACAGCTACCATGATCTCATGACTTCTGAGGACTGCTCAACTAACACAAGCAAACTGTACATTTAATCAACACACAAAATTAGAAGTAGGTTTCTTTAATTGATCTCTGGAGAATACCAGTGGATTCTCTGGTATTCTGACAAAACCTGGTCTAATCTGACTGGCATGCAAACGTTCAAAATTTGAAACATCATGAATAAAAAAATTTAGGGGGTTTTGTTTAAATTCATATTGTAATTAACTAATGGAAACTCTCATAACATGTAAGATTAGAATTCATAGATAACATTTTCACACCTTCTGTTAGTATTTACACAACACAGGAACAAAAAAAAAAAAACTACCTGGGAATTCAAGTTTCCAACATAGACTGTTCTCCTGATTTCATCAATTTTGGATGGATCCACATTTCCCATAATTGGTGGTTGTGGTATTTCTCCCAGTGCTGTAATGTTAGGATCCAGTGCTGCTGCTGGTATAGCCCCTAAAGTACCAAGTGAAACACCAAGCTGGAAAATACAAGAACAGAATACACTTTGCAGCCAAGCACTGGTGAATGGTATTTCACTTCTTAATACTTGTTTGCCTGGATGCATTTCTGCAAAAACAGATCTAATGAATACAAGCAATACTTTAAAGGCCACAGCGCAGCAGGCTTTTTTAAAGAAAAATCTACCCGGAAATAAGCTTCCATAGTTAAGATACTCTGTGGATTATCAGTTAACATCTTATGAAAGAGATCTGGACAGGTATATATATTAATCACAAAACATACAAGCTCTAATGCTTAGAGCCAAATAAACTGAGTAAGACTCTTTCAGACACTGCTGGTATTCTTATTTTTTTTGAAACAAGTATTTGGACAGGAGGAGGAATAGCTGAGATCTTGCTCAGGAAGGAAAGAAAGGAACTTCCAGTGGTCAGGATCAAAGGGTCACGTAAGCGTCTTCTGGACAAATGAATTACCCCAGACAAAATTAATTACAGTTGAAATGCAAAGAATATTCTAAGTTCTTCCATTCATACGTAGAGAATGAGAAAAGTATACAGCTCTCATGCTTGGAACTGGAAACAGAAAACTCTCCTGCGAAATGTTATAAAAAGTCACTTAAAAATCACTACAAAATTGGTCCATTGAGTACCTGGCTTGAATTTTCTCTAACCAAAAAGCAACTGCCTTTTCAAGAAATTAATTTTCTAAGAAGCGTGGGGAATTCTTAACAAGCCATAAGTACCTTTTTTATGTAACAAAGGAAAATACTACTGTATTTTAACCTTAAGTTTTCCTTCAATAAACCACAGCAACTCGCTGATGTAAAGAAAAGCTTACAGAGGTAAAAGGGAATGGAGGAAAAATAGCATAACCAAGCTCCAACCTACTTTTCCTAGTGAAAACATTGTTAGACAGTCTAACAGTCAAAAATCTTGCAATAGAGATATCAAGGAGAAGTCTCTACTGCAACTTTTAATATTCTGAAGAACTGGTGTCAATGTAACTTAGGTTTTAATACATTCTTTGTCAGTGGTAACTATCACTGGACCAAATTAATGACCCTACAAGGTACGATCGAATTAAAAAAGAATTAAAACCAAAACCAGTATTTACCCACTATTTTGGAAATTAGTAATCTGAAAGAAAAACCCTGGGAAGGTAGCACATTAGTATCTTCTGATCAGTCCTCAGGAGAGTCACCACAGCTAAATCCTTGTGGATATTCTCAGTTCAGTTGAAGAAAGAACAGACAATTTCTCCCAGGCTGAACCTGGGAATCCTAGACAAAAGAATCCCAACAATTATTATCTCTCTTTCTGTAACCATTGTTTATAGTTATGGTTCTTTACAGCGTGCTATTCATAGCCACCAATAATGTAAGATGTTTTCTACTTTGAGACCAATCCAGTCCCACTTAGGGAGTGAGACTATAAAACTCACTGTTTCTTACTAATAAAGATTCTTCTTGAGCCTTCTGATCCACCTGAAGACTGGAGTCTTTCTTTCCGTCCCTGACTCAACAGCATTTAAACCCTCACTGCAACGTCCGTTGACCAGATACTCCTCATTCCCTGTCCACAGAAAAGGCTACAGAGAACAGAGGAAACTGGAATTACATAGACACTGAACTTCACTTACTGTAGTCAAGGGAGTTGGCGTAGGTATAGGAAGCAACCCTGCACCAGGCATCAGACTTGTCATAGTAGGAGCAGGCGCCAATAGAGACAGGGCTTTGGCTTCATCTGGAATTTTACCTGAAGAAGCAAATAACAGCATTACACAGAGCTGGAACACTAGCCAGATGTTACTCTATGATTTTACAATTACCCTTGCATTTAAAAATGTAATAAGTAACAATGAATCTATCTACCAGATCCTTACAAAGAAACAAAGAACTTAAGTTTTTCCTTTTACCCTGCTCTATTAGGAAAAACAAAAGTGAGCAAAACTTCAAAGACTAGCAATCTCATTAATGGATTATTACTTTAAAAACTGAATAATGTATATAATTATTTAACACTTTGAGCTATGGGTCACCTGTACTGGAAACTTAATGTTCATGAACCAAACGATATCAAGCATGGATGCTTTCCCAGGGCGGTGTTTTCACGGTGATCGAAAGCTGTTTTACACATGACAACCGTTCGTGTTGGCTGCATCACTAATAGCACACAGAACATCAGATACAGAAAAGAAGAACATTTTTTAAAGTTTAATCCCCAGAAATGGCAAATAACCAAATCAGTAAAAGAAAGAAAACCCAAAAAAAAGGAAAAAAAAAAAAAAAGAAAAAAAAAGAAAAAGAAAAAGAAAAAAGAAAAACCAAAGTATGTGCTGACTGAAATTTGTGCTTTTCTTTATTCCTCTGGTGCTACCTATTTAGAATGTAAAAAATAAACAAAACATAAAATAATAAACTACTGAACTACTGTGACTGCACACAATACATACTACAAGTGAAGTTGAAGGTGGAGGAAGGAAGAGCAGAAAAAACTTAGATTTGTACTCATATTATAGTCACCTCAGTTTATCTGAAATTGGTAAATTAAGTCTAAATTTACTGAGATTGAAGAAAATTATAACTGATCAGGCTAAGCTAGCTCTATTTTCCCAACAGAAGTACTTCTTACTATTTTATCCTGATTATAGTCCTCCTGTAATGCCAAAAGTAATAACTAATCTGAATTAAAAGTTGGTTTAATTGAATATTAGCCATGATTAGACTACTAAATTAACCCCCAAAGTATCTCCAAAACCAAGAAGATTAAATGTTAAACAATTATGATTACCATTAAATGTACATTTTAAATTTGAAACGCAAAGAGATTAAAACTGGCACAAACATTAAACACCAAACTAAAAAACTTGTGAAGGAAGTTCTAACTACACTAGGCATCTATGATCTGTTCAAAATTACTGGCACAACCATATATATGCTAACCAACTGAGTCCTTTGGTATTACCCATGGATCTTAATAAAGTAAATGCTCTTATTTCAACATTGTTTTAATAGTCAAGTAATATATAAAAAGTGTGCCAGTGGTTTCCTGCCTTGATTAAAACTGCAGGTTTTAACTACAAAACATCTAAATCCAAAATCTGATTAATACTCTTACTGTAAAGGAAAATTTGAGGTAGGTTTCAAAACACCATGGAGGTTTAGCAACGAGTTCCAACTGACACCATAGAAAACATACTAATTTAGAAAACAAAAAGAAACAAGTGCTGCAAACCTGCTCTACAGATCTGAGGGAAAGTCTGGGTTACAGCTCAATATGACTGAATGGCAAAACAAATCTAAAGGAAACTTAATTTATATGTAGAATGGGTGGAACAGAACAGATAAAATAACAGTACCCATTTTTTTCCATGCTTCCTATTTACATTTATTTTATTTATGTTAAATTTTGAGACACCTTGCAACTTAACATGTAAGAAACCACTCGAACTTGCTAACTAAGAGAGAAAAATAGGAAAAATTTAGCGCTTAGGAGTTAACTGAGCAATAATGACTTCCAAAACTTTTTTGAAAACATGCACAAATCTAAGCCACTATCACAATGTTCGGCACTCTTTAATAGATCTCATTTTGAAGTCGGGCATGCAATGAGGTGTACCTGATTTGCCTGACTGCTCAAAAGTATCAGGTACATTGTGTACCCTGCCTAATATGTAGGCCTACTAACAGGCTTTTAAATATACAGTTCCAGCAGATGTGCATGCAAATTAGGCACAGAATTATGCACCAGTGCTTCTGAAAATCAAAGTATTAAGTTTTTTCAAATGAGTAATGAACCAAAACTTATCCTGAACAGTCGGCATCTTGCAATTAAACAGCTACTCATGCAGGTTTTGATGGATCAAGAGACATGGCACAATTAAATCCAACGGTAGAAATAGCTCTGATAGTGGTGTGCCTGCATGCTAACTGAGATCCTTGGTCAGTACTGTACATAAGTATATGCCTAATTTAAGTATGCACTTACATACAGCCAATTCAATACACACATAAACAGGTAAACTTATAAAATGCTTAGGCATTTAGCCCTTTTAAATGGGAGCTCAGTTAGGCACATATAACTAAGACAGACAATGACTCAAGTTCACAAAGTGACTTCAGTAGAAGCCTAAACTTTAAGTATATGGCTTATGGCACTGAAATAACTGAAATAATTAACTTGCTGAAACATTGTTTCATTATTCAAGAAATCCACTGAACATTTCATGTAAGTTCACCACTACAGCAGCTCACAGAATGAACAGCATGCATATGTAAATTGTAAAGTTTGCAGCATTATTTCCAGAATACGTTGGTCTTTCAACAATGTAAAGTTCTATTTTAAATACAAAAATCAAGTTGGTCAGTCCCACACCACAAAGAAAGATTCATTTATTTTGTTTTCAAGAATGAGAAAGGGTCTATTTCTACAGACAGAACCCTGAAAATTTGCCTGTATATTCAATGACACTGTCTCTTCAGAGTAACTTTTCCAGTTTTTAAGTCCAAGTCAAGTTTTAAAATAATTCTACCGATCACTGTTGTGGAAAAACAAAAATAAATCTTCAGTATCTTGATTATCTACCTTCATAATCTTTAAATAGTTTTGAAAAACAAATTAACATGTGAGTCCAAATAACTTCATGAGTTAAAAGCTTTAAATTTTGCAGCTTTACTTCTGTGATTGTATATGTAAAGGAAATAAAAGCCCACTGAATACATCAAAATATGCAGGTTATGACACAACAGTTTAGGACAATTTAGTTCAAAAAGAATACTTTCATTTTTAGAACACAGTATTTAAAATCTGAATAAGAATGAGGTAATGATATTTATTTTCTAATGCGGGAGCAGTCAAAATAATTATGCCATATCTATACCACATCCTTAGACAGATTTCTTAGAAGCTCTTCTGCTTAGTAAACTAAGGTTGTATGATCATTTATTGATTGTCCCCTTTGCAAAAGAATCTGGAAGCAAATGTCCATTGTCCCAGCACTGCTTAAAGGCACGGTTGTGACTGCTACTTTTTTGTACCATTAGTCTAAAGAGCCCTAGACAACCTAACCCACACTAGAACCCTTTGCTGAAGACTAAACAGAATCATCTGCATCAAACAAGTACTAATGACAGTATTTTTATTCCTCAAGTGCTCAAAAGAATTTCCAACTCTTCATAGTGAACCTGCAGAGTTAACACTCACATCCAAAAGTGCTCCTGGCAACAAGTTTGCTTGTTTTAAAAACAGTGAAGAGTTCACAGTCTACTTGAAACATTGAAAAAAGTAATAATTTTCCTGCTATTTTACATCAATGGAACACGTATGATTACAAATAAAATAATTTCTATTAGACCAACTCATGAATCTTAGTGGATTTAGCAATAAAGAGATTGCATCTACTGGCAATTAAAACTGTAACAGCCAAATCCAACAAAGATCACAAATCACAGCTCTTCCCAGCTGCAGTGCAGAGTCTGGTGAAAGGAGTGAAACCAAGAGATCCCAGTGCAGCTAGCTGGGAAGAGCAGTCAGTACTTGAGGACTAGACACACCACTTTGTCCACCACTTCTGTTTCAGAAGAATATCCTTTAGGGATCAATCACTCCAGCATGAACTGCCAGGGCTTCTGAGACTCTGGGATGACTGGAAAACACCTTTTTTTTCTGACTTTAGTGTTTTTTTTTAAAACATCTTCCTGAAATAATCACCACTAGAGCATGTCAAAGTGCAATACACACACGCACACACACACAGAAAGAGAACTGATTCAATCTTCTCACAAGTAACAGTGTTAAAAGACAAGTTGTCTCACATAACACACTCCAACCGAAACTTCAGGCTGCATTTGTACTTATGAGTGGTAAATAGTTTTTTCTGAAAGTTCATTTTAAAAAAAAAGATGAAATCTTACTACCACTGACCTCACTGGAGCAAGGTTTCATCAGAAGTAAGAGAATATTTTATGACATTCAATATTCATAAAAGTTCAATTTCAGAAATAATTCTTTTAAACTCATGATGTTAGACATAAATAGTAAGCCTTCTTTTAAATAGCTGGTGCAACATAAAATAGAACACTCTGCTGATGGAAAGTAGCAGAGAAATATTATGACTTTACTTTCTAAAGTTGCTTTCTCCAAAAGTAAGAGTTTTAACTGTCCTTTTCCAAGATAAACTCATAAAGCACAACATATGGAAAAATGTATCTTGAAACACTATTCCTGTCTTCTGATACAATGTACTCATCTGCTGAATTTAGATACTTAAACAAATTGCAAATCAAATTTATCCTTAATTCAAAGCACTAAAAACAAATCACATTCTAAATTCTCCATATACCATCCACCATTCATAAGCAGCTTCAGGTCAACTTCAAAATCAAACACTGTGAACCCTTTACAAACATCATTTTACAGAACTGAAGTACCAGTTCACAAGTACAAGGGAAAGAGATTTAACAGAACAAAACAAAAAAGGGACAAAATAAAAATAAAAATAAAAGAAACAAAGGAAAGAAAGCAAAATAAAATAAAAACAGAGACAGGGCGTCCATCTTCAGCAGGTCAGACTTCGATCTCATTTCCCCCATGAAGGTTTCACTTGGCGGCAGGTTTAGTGGCATGGCAAACAATGCCTAACTCAGGCAAGTGTAACAGGTCTGCCTTGGCCAGTCTAGTCATCTAATAATGCACAAATATCACACAGAGAAAACATACAAAACCAAATTAATAGTCAAAATCCATCTACCAGATAATGTGGACATAAAATTTAGAAAGATTAGGGTGGTATCTTTGTTTAGCTTTCAACCTTTGCATTTTCAAAGCATATTTAAGGAAAAACCTACCAATACACACACACAAAAAGTCCTATTTTCACAGCTTAATAGTCTTACTTCATTTACAGTAACATTTTTGTTAAATTGTTCATCAATTGTCACATACTTTACATTGATTTCATTCTGTAATGATTTCTTCCTTGATTTACCACTCTTTAAATACACTCCAAATTTCAGATTTTTGTATATTTTTTTGAACCAGGTTTTTAGATTTCCATTTTAACTCCCCTCAATGTTTAACTTCACACATTAAATGTTTTATTACTGGCAATGCTGGTCAATGGTATAATTTCACCTCCTGGTAGGATAAAAAGCCATCACTATTTTTAAAACCCATTATCCAGTTCACTGACTCCATTAACAGTGCACCATATGATACGTAGTGAAAAAAACCCTTATGCCATGGTCTCCAAAGCCATACTTATTCCACACAATAAATTCTTCAGAAAGTTAAATTTGTATAAATTCACATCTTTTTATAAATGAGTGATTCTGATACAAAGTTACAGAGAACAGCATTCTGACATCAAAAAAGCAACCTCAAAACCCAATCACTTGTTCACCTAATTATGCATACGTTTTTGTGGAGTCCAGAATGATTCTGAACAGTGATCATGTTTTCTCAGAAATGCCTGATCAGCCAGTTATGAATAGAGGTGGAACAAGATTTGTCAGAATTTTGACTTATTCTCCTTTCACTCACTGTCTACCACAAAAGACACAGGAAAATGTAGCTTTACCTGCCTGTTGCCATATCATGTCAGACAGTGATCTCATCACAAGAAAAACACCAGGAAGTGTTGTTCCCTCATTAGGCAGCCATGTTCCCTCTCTGGCAATACTGAACCTGTGTTAAGATCTTACTGATGAAATATAAAACTAAGATTCTGAATAATCTTTAGTCTATTTATTTAGGGGCAATTCTTCAATTGGAGACTCTGGTGCCCTTAGCCTCTACATAGTTTCCAGTGCACACAGCAATATTCTCTTTGTGCTTTAAGAACAAGTTAAAAATATGAAGAGAGAGTCCTCAAAACAAGACACAAAAGGAACTGAAAACCTAGGCTTCACAAAGATAAATGCATATCCTGTATGACCTGCCTAAGAAAACTATAAGAACAGGCAGCACACTGTAGGTCAATATGGCCTTTAGTGAAAGTACTTTTATAGTTTGTGAAATTTTTGAGACTTCTCAGTTTGTTAAGAATGTCCCAGACGAGTATTATAGCAGCAGTCATCTCACACGATCTAGATCATGATGCAGCAAACATGCCAGAACATGTTACTCTGGGACCATTGTTAACAAACTGCAAGAAGTCAACTGTATTTTTTTGAAACAAAACCCGACTCTTGCACTTAGAGATGTTAATAAGAGGTATTACTTGATCTGTTGCAGTTTACAGTTCAATCACTCTACATATTGTTGTTCATGGCAAAACAGCAACCAAGTTGGAAGTTAAGTCAGGTTCACTCCATCAGCTGGAACGATTCCATTCCAAAGTGGCAAAAAGGTCCAGCACCAGTCAGAGGCTAAATTCCACAGTGATCCCAATGAAGTCAATGGGGCTCTGCCTACATCCATTGATATGACTGCTACAGGACCCTGCTTCATGTAATTGTATTCAAATCTAAGGTGCTTCTACTAACAACACAAATTGTCTTATACTCAACACATCTGTAAAAGCATGGCCTCAGAGCTAGGGGAAGGAACATCTGTCAGTGTAGTGTTCATCAAGTATTTTATCTCATGAAGACTTTTAATGCAATGTAATTACATTAGTTATATTTTTAAGAACATTTAATGCAATTACATTACATTAGTAATGTTTTTAAGAACATTTTATTATGGGAGCATTCTGGACAGATCACTGCATATTTAAACACATACCCAAAACGAAAAAGGAGTACCAGTATAAATAAGGATTTTTTTTATGGCACATGAAGTAACATTTTCAACAGTAACAAGAAGGAAAAATGTTTGTTCAAAAATTAAACTAGCAGATAAATATTTATATTCAATAAGTATTTTCAATGCTAAGTATCTTGGATTAGATGACTCTAAAATGGCCAAATGAGTATATCACATCTATAAGACAAAACTGGGATTCTCTCTAAAATTGCAGAAATAATCAGTGTCTTTAAAAAAGTACAAATCAGCAAAAATATCTCTACAGAAAAGGTTATACATTAAGATTCAAACTGCAATGTTAAGTGTCAGGAAACTGCCTGATCTTTTCAGAGCTCCATTGACTTCAGTGAGAACTCTGTGTGCGGATACACCTGCCTACACAAACCAAACCAAAGTGAAAGGAATTATTTTCCTTTCTTTACCTTCAGAATACATAACTAGGGAAACCTGAGTTATCATAACTTAAGCCAACAATCTTTTTGCTAATGCTGAATTTCAATTAAACATGTATAACTGGGGTTATTTTCAATCAATTTTCAATTTTGTTTCAAGGTCTTTTTTTCCCAAAAAGCAATAAAATAAAATAAAATAACAACAGAGCATCACCTTACATAGAAAGCTTAAAACAATTAACAAACACAACAAAGACCAACATTACACAAGAATGTCTAAAATACCAACCTTCTGCACAGGGCACAACTATCAAAGCTCTGTCAATAAAAACCGTGTTAGTTAGATGCTGGGCCACACCAACACTCGATGCTTCACGAAACTTAATATAACATACTTTGGAGGAAAAAGCAAGTGGTGCATTGCTGCAAGATAAAAGGAAAAAATAACAATTACTCATAATTGCATGCATGTATTTTTAACTATTACTTCTTAGGGAAAAAAAGAGGATTTTTTCCTAGAAAAGGCAGCCTAAAGTATAGAAATCTACTAACTTGCCACTTGCTGTATCAGTGAAAAAAGATGGAGCACCTTTTAAATGAAAACTGACATAAGCCAAAATCACTAATTAACATGACTAATTTTCTTCTATTATCTGGCTACATAATGCTGAATAGCACATTTTCAAATTACTATTTTAAGGAGCATATTTACTTGACAACTACAATTGCCAAGTAAATATTTTATAGTTTATCTTTTTTCTTTTTTTTTCTGAAAATAATCTTTTTATAGGAAAGACAAACAACAAACCCTGCCATTTTTTGGTGGGTCCTTCAGATATTAGCCTGTAATAATCAATATTCTCTCTGGCTTTCACAAAAGTAGTTTTATTAATTCTTACAAAGATAAAACCAGTTCTAGAGATGGCTTTCAAATACTGGGTCTTAGCTGACTAATGTAATGACTAATGTAACAAAAACCATTGCCTTAGTTTGGCACAAGATGGAGTAACATCGGAGGAATAGGAGCAACTCACCATTTGGCTACAAAAGGGAAGAAAATTTGTAATTCACTTTTCCATTACACTGTACGCCAAGAGAGAACATGTAAACATTGCAATCTTGATCAAAACTACTCAAGTTTGCAGTAGAAATGGATTCCCTAATCAAGGTTTGTAACCTTTATATTAGAAGCTTACTTCTTCACATGAAGGAAGTACAGGTAAATATTCAAAGAGAGAATACAGTATTGCTGGAATATCAGCAATTTTCATTTGAAATCATGGAAAAAATGTTGCACAGACTGTTTTACTCTGGTCCTGTCTCAACCAAAATGGAAACACTTGTCAAATTTCTGGAAGCACAAGCAGCAGTTCAAGTTTAACACAACCCATCTTGGAGTCCCCTCGAATTCCAAGGATGTGTGTCCCCAGTTATTCTATTAGATTTCAAGATTTAAATATCAATTAAAAGTTTTAGACACATGATCTCATCATATTAATATAAAAATAAACCAAAAATGTATGCCTGAGGCAGGGAGACTAGTATGTTTCTGGCTACCAGGACAGTAGCACAAATGTGTATCTAGAGATGGCCAAATCCAGAATGGTATTTAAAAACATCTATGATGGAAAATTCTTTAAGAACAGACAACACTGGGGAGGAAAAACTAAACCGGTAGTGGGAGACACATAAACATGAAAGTCAATCTCACAGAATTTAGAGAAACATTACAAGACGACTACATTTCTTCTGCCCACTTTTATTTATTTGTGGTGGGAAATGCTTTTACCATTTCAAGTTTCCACATTCAGGAAGGAAATAACTGTACAGACCAGATTCTGAGTGAGCTGTAAGATACCTGTCTGCCTGGGCTGGTTGATGGTGTCAGGGAGCAGAATGGTCCCCCCATTATCCAAGAGGAGACAGTCAAAGAACTATTGAAATGCTTGGATGTTCATAAATCCATGGGACCTGACAGGATCCACCCCAGGGTAATGAGGGAGCTGGCAGATGAGCTTGCAAAGCCACTCTCCATCATTTACCAACAGTCCTGTCTCACTGGTGAGGTTCCGGATGACTGGAAGCTGGCCAACGTGACACCCATTCACAAAAAGGGTGCAAAGGAAGATCCTGGTAATTATAGACCAGTCAACCTGACCTCAGTACCTGGCAAGATAATGGAACAGTTTATATTAAGTGCCATCATGCAGAATTTACAGGATGGCCAGGGTATCAGATCCAGTCAACACGGGTTTAGGAGGGGTAGGTCATGTTTAACCAACCTGATGATCTTAAAGGTCCCTTCCAACCTAGAAATTCTGTGATGATCTCAGTTGAGACCAGTTTCCAACATCAGAGGTGATAGCCAGCTATGACTTTTTTAGTACTCTAGAGATACTTCATTCACCACAAAGACTTCCATGGCCATGAGCAGTTTATTTGCTTTGATTTGGTGGGGGAGAGGACGCCAAGGGGAGGGAGGAGCTTGGGTCTTGGAATTTCTTGTCACCACTGTATGGTGTTTGCTTGTTTCTTTTTAAATACATCCCTCACTGTTTATAACCCAAACAGCTGAAGTCACCACTGAAGGTTCTATGGTCCACACTGCTGAAGACTTCTAAATCTCCCGATTTTTTTTTTTTTTTGCCTCTTTTGATTTCATTGCCAACTCAAAAATATAATTCTGCTCTACATAGTTTCAGGGCCCCCCAATAATCCTTATAAACTTTAACATCTGCAGAGCCTGTACTATCAAGTGTGTTTTTGTAAGATTTACTCTTCCCTATTCCCTGATTTAGAACACAAAAGTTATATGGACAGAATGTTGAAAAATATCAGATGTCTGAACACTGGTGCAAATGAGGCCCTACAAAGACATCTTGATACTAAGTGCCTTCCAGAGGTTAGAAAGGATAAATTCTCTACAAGGTGACGCTCGCTACTAAAAACACATCAAAATTGCCTCAAGATCTAAGAGATCTAAAACTTCAGAAGGTTTAACAGTGATCCAGTCCTCTCCTTTTCTGAAGGGGGTCTCCAAAGTCTTCCCATCAGCCTTTTTAAGAAGACTTTTTTCTAAAACAGTTAAGTCCTATTCTAATTCCTTTTGTTGCTTTTTTTTGCTAGCCTTTACTGAGGCTGAATTGACTCATGATCTTTTTTCTAGGTTACACAGCCTTGATATCAAAAAACAACACATATATCTGATTCAAAGTTACTACAATTCAGTTAGTCTCTTTAGAAAAAAAATTAAGAGGAAATAAATATCTAAATAGTATTTGGACATTTCTAACATTTCTCTTTCACTTTGTAGGAAGACAGCAACATTCATCTCCTAACAGAATGAAAATCAACCAAAGTATTTCCTAAGAAGGAATTCAGAAATCTATGATAATAAAAAAAAAGAAAAGGCTATGAAACATTTCTCTAACTGTCCAAATTTTCTCAAGTGGGGCAGGGAGGTGGGGTGTGTGAGGTGTGGAGGACATGACAGAAATTAATAACTTACTAAAATAGAATATTATGGAATAATTGTGCAGATAAGTTTAAATAAGGCTCTGTGTGTTCTGAAGCCTCACCTACATTGCTGTCACTGCAGGATATAACAATTCTATTTATTATTATTATACAGATGACAATCCCTTTTCTCAGATGAAACGTCCCTTAAGGGAAGGTGGCCCATCTGCCTGTGTCAGAATGGATAAGGTATACAAGTGAGAGTGACTTGGGTGGCACCCCTCAATGTTAAACGAGGCTTTGCCCAAATACTCTGGTTCATGAACAGAACACTTTTAGGCTCCAAACCGGAGGAGGCCCCAGACCCCATTGCCAAGCTTTGGTATGAAGGTGTCTCCACCTCTCAACACCTGCTGGCTGCAACCAGAGCAGGACTTCCTGGCGGCAGAACAGAGGCCAATCCAGTCTTGCCCTTGACTACAGAAGGGTTATGACAAACCAGCCCATCATCGAACTTTTTGTTAAACCAGAAGTTTATTCTCCAACAGAGTTCTCACTTCCAAGACCACTCCAGACTATTCAGTAGCAAGCAGTATTACACAGTAGGTCTTTCCACACCTAATAGAGACAGCTTGCAACTCCCTGCTTTCAAACAACTCATTTTGCCAAAACCCAATTGTTGCTCAGGAAGTTTTTCAACATTTAACTGTTCAAAAATCCTCTTAAGGCCACATTTGAAGGCTCATTGCTACACATGTAATTTTGAAGCCTACTCTGAAAAGCAGACTTCAACTGGGTTACAAGTGTATGGGACTGTCTGTGCATGTCTGGGACTAAGAATCCAATTACAGGTGTCACTGATCTCCTGCTAACATGAAAACACCACTAGGCTGTGGCAGTGGCTAGCATTCTGGAGTACAAACCCAAGGCAAAAGACCAGTCACATCCTGCAAACCAGCTTCAGTTCTTAACTGTACTGCAAACTGATAGTGATCTATGTTTTGTTTGGGACACCTTTGCTTCCCATCCACTTGTCAATGAAATACTATTTTACAAATTTACCATACATTTTCAGAAAGCAAACAGGAGGCAATTTTTTTTTTTTTCCTCCTAAGGAAAGACATTAGAGCTTCTCAGGCATACCTAGTTTTCTCCCAAGGTAGCAATTTGGAAGTCAGTTCAAATGTCCATAAATATGAGGCAAGGAAAACCATACCTCTAACACATATGCATAAATAACAGTAAATAAAACCAAAAGTAAAGCAGGTAAACAGAATCCTGCATCCTATCTCTGAAAACTTAATTAACCAGCATTACAAGTTATTCCCTACTCTGATACTGGATTTTAGTATTTTTTGTGCATATACACCCTGACAAAATTGTACACATTGGCACAGACATTATTTATGTATGAATGTCAAGAAAGTCCCCATTTCCCTCAAAACCTGTTATATAACCTAGTGAAAGACAAGAACAACAGCTGTAACAAAAAACCAGATTCAGTCACGAGAAAACCCAAAATATAAAGAAGCAAGTATGGAACAAGTCCAGGACAAAGCCCTAGAAAATTGTATAAAAATCCACCATATAGCTGTCAGTAAGGCATATCTTATTTTAAGCATATCTTTACATATTAAGTATTTATTTTTTTCTGAATGGTTGATATTCAAATACAGTCAGACGTTATGTAGCTACATTAAAAGTGATAAACACCAACTTTTTTGACTGTTCTCTTTTGCAAATCGAAGTTTTGTTAGCCTGAGCATTTTTGTACCAAAGCTTATGTACTGGGATGCTAATAATGCCCTCTGGTTTCCACTATTCCGATTTACTTTTTCTAAGAAAATACAAGGCTTGATAAGGCACATTTATTATTCGCTTCCCAGTAAAACTGCTGCCTTGAGAGAAAAAAATTCCTCCCCTTTACTGCTGATCATCGCCTTCTCCGGAGAGGAAACACTGATACT